CCTTAAAAATACCAATTTATAATATTAGCATTTTGAACATAATTTTTGAATCCTCGATTTATTAGATATTTTATTCTTTATTCCATATTCCATTTACATATATCAATCAGAATCACTTTACATTATAATTCTATTCTACTACAAATTACAATTTAATTATTTTTCATAGAAAGTTATTACTTTCGAGTCACTTCACTCTCATTACACTTAAACGCACTCGTAAATAACTTCCTCTCAATGCACTGCTCTCTACCAGCCCTGGCTATTGTCGGTGAATGCAGGCAGGCCTAAAACAAAAGAGAGCAAACTTTTCTTGTGTCTGAGGGATCGCGAGGGACGTTACAAAAGACGCAAATTACAAAAGAAAATAATTGGGATGATTATTTAAATTTTGCTATGTTTTTCTATAATACCAGTGTCCATGAGAGCACTCAGTACATACCTTTTCAATTAATATATAGACGAATACCTCGCCTTCCCTCGTCACAGAAAACACTCGAGCAAAATTTAGAGCCAACATATCAAAAGTACCTTTCCAATTTATTTCAACACTTACAAGAAACCCAGGAAGAGGCTAGGCAAAATTTAATTAAATCAAAAGAAAGAAATAAACACTATTATGATAAACGCATTAACCCTGCGAACTTTAAAGAAGGAGATTTTGTATTTTTATTAAAAAACCTTCTAAAGGAAAGTTTTCTGACCAATATACTGGTCCATATAAAGTTCTAGAAATTCTACCGAATAACAATATTACCATCCAATACGGAAATACAACACGCACAGTGCATGTGGATTAACTAAAACTCACACATTGAGCCAGGATGAACATAATTAACATATACCTCTGTTTCAGGGTGTTCCTGGTATATAATTCGCAACCTCAAGAAACTGTCCGTAATTTTTCAGCCACTAGGCAACCTGCCAACCCAAGGTGCTTACGGACCGAAGGCTTCAAACATGTCCCATCTAATACACTCTTATGTCACTTATGTTTAATCAATGATTTTCTTGACAGCTCAGAACTTTTCGAAAAATTAGTCTCGCACTACTTAACTATCAGTGATCAATACAATATTAGAAATTGCGATTATTGTCATATGCCATTAGGCATCAATAGACCCGTAGACGACTGCTTCACATGCTATCAATCCTATAAAACTAATCCTTTAAGTAAACCACCTTATAATAATATTTTCATAATTCCAAAAAATGAGTAAATTTCAAGAAATATTAACAACATACCCTAGTATGCTGGATGTGAAATGCATCATACTAGCTGGATGCAAATATCAAAATCAGTTAGGCGCTTTATGCACCAAATGTTACATTCGGAAGTCACTCCCATCAGATTTAAGATACTGTATCTTTCATGGCTTTTCTTTAGACCCGTTAGAATTAGCTTACTGTTTAAATTGTCATCCTAATCTCACGATAGTAGAACCAATCATATACTGCCTTCCATGTTTCCATAAATACAAACGCACTCTTGATATGCTCAAGGAAGGAGGATAGAGAACAGATACACTAACCTCTATAGTATACAGTCACATTACTAATAAAGTTATAAAAATTAACCTTTCAGATGTGCCGACCGAGACCCCCAGTACCGTACAAACATCCAATCGTTAAAGCATTTCCAGGGCTTGATTCAGCCCGCTGTTCCATCGCGTTAGGGTACATCACTCAGCGCGAATCAGATAGAGCTTTGTGTGTTAATTGCGTTTTCGACTTAGACTACCCTATTGAATACGCCATTGCCGGATGGCATGGCTTCGTAGCCCATGAACCCTTAATCATGCCATGCATTAGATGCGGCATAAATACCGCCGAAAATCGGCCAATAAACAAGAGTTTCAAATGTTACTCTACATATATAGAATTAATTCAGAGAACACTCATAAGACATGAGTTAGAGATAGATCCTGCTGGTATCAACATATTAGTTTTTAACCATAAGAATAGCGACCTTATAGAACTAACCTTGTTACCCGACAACACACCTCATATTAATACCACACTCCTTGACAATATAGAATAAAAATAAGAAAACAATTATCTATTATATTTTAACTCTTATATATTCATATTATACATCTAGATAGTAAGGGCACTCTTCCACTACGCCCATCATCAACATTGTATTTATATATTACATAAAAATCTGGTGGCGACGACTCAATAACTGTAAAACATTGATTTATTTACCATATTGTTATATCATACTATATCTCATAATGAAAAATATAACATTCTTATCTTAGCCGCCCGAGTTTTCATAAGGTAATTCTAATCCCCGATTACAAGGGGCAAGAAAAAAACATAAAATATATATAAAACAAAAACATATAATAATAATTTTCTTTTTTAACCTTTAGAGGACGGGGGTTTTTCGGTTCAACATGACTTTTTGTTTTCACAAAAATGTATGTCTAAAAACATCGGATTACTAATTTTAGACACCCCAAGTGACAGGTGGTCCATATATGGACCACCCCCGTCTGGAACATTACGGGCAATATAAAAAAATTTTTTTTTCATATTTTAGCTTCAAAGTTGGTATAACCACGTTTTTTGATGCTCTGAATACAAATAAAGTAATAAAAAAAATCCTTCAGTTTTCGCTCTTAGCTTGACCCAGGACCAACGACGTGGACATGGCGAAAATATAATCCCTTTGGGGTGCTTGATTCACGTGAGTCCCCGTGCCTCTCACGTTGGGGTGCTTGATTTACGTGAGTCCCCGTGCCTCTCACGTTGGGGTGCTTGATTTACGTGAGTCCCCGTGCCTCTCACGTTGGGGTGCTTGATATTCGTAAAACCCCTTATCTCTTACTTTGCAATGTTTGATTTTAGGGTAACTCCACTTGTGTGTGATACTCTTCAAAGCAGGGTACTGCGCATAAAGGAACGTCACAAGTGGGACACATGAATGTTGTCCTTTTTTTATTTTTACGTAAAGTGCATAAATGGCACCTTCGCCTTGTAGTTTCTCGGGGAAAATGTCGACCAATCAACCTAGCAGGCGAATCATTGTTGTACGTGAAGTTTTCAGTAGGATCAACATTCAATAATGATCTAACAATCTGTAACCTGAATGACGGAAACGACATGGGCTCTTCATTTTCCATTTTATACAAAGCATGAGCATTAGTCAGGCAAAGATCAATAAGGTGCAAGAAGAGCTTCCTATACCACTTCATTGTTTTTCGCACTGACTCCGTTATAGATAATTGTCTGTCGATATTATCTATACCACCCATATTTTGATTGTAATCTTGAACACATGTTGGCTTTATAATGTCTTCTTTCGTTTTATAATGTTTTTTTCCAGTTGCGCGAAATTCAAACTCATGCACACTTGTCAACATGCGGACACTGCGTTTATCTTCCCACTTCATTGCCATCCATGTATGGCTATGAGCTACTTGCACTTCACCTCGACCTAATTTTTTATCTAGATTTGGCATTCCCTTTCTATTCGCTTTTACCGTTCCACATATTCCAGTATCATGATCATGTAAAAAGTCAGCCAACATGGGAGATGTATACCAATTATCTATGTATATTACATGTCCCTTATAAAAATAAGGTTGTAAGAAGTGAGCAACAATATCCCCTGTGATACCCAAACCAAATTTTTCATAATCGGTGTCTGCACCTGTATAAACAATGAAGCCCAAAATAAACCCAGTTTCACAGTCTACTATCATGAAAAGCTTGATACCAAAACGATTTCTCTTCAACGGAATATATTGCTTGAATCGAAGCCTACCTTTCCATAATAAGAGACTCTCATCAATACACAGATTTTTACCTGGAATAAGAGTACCCGAGAATTTGTTTTGTAAGTGGTCTATTATTGGCTTGATTTTCTCTAAAGGATGATTTGTAATTTCTTCATTATTATGAAAGTGTAAATTTCGTAAAATTTGAAGGTATCTATCACGAGACATTATTTGAGGAAAAATCGGAGTATGTAGTAAGAGATCGGTAGACCAATAATTTTTCAACTCGCCCTTCCGGACATGTCCCATTAGGATTGAAAGCCCGAGAAACTTGTCTAGTTCATCTTTTGTAAGAGGGGTCCACGATTTCATATGGGAAGATTGTATGCTATCACTTTGAGATTCATAACGATTCGATTCATCCACAATCATTTGAAGAAGAATAGGATCACAAAAATGATTGAAATAATCTATTGGTTTATTTTCTGGTAAAGAAATATTTGGATTTATTCTAGAATTACCGTTGAAGTTTTTTATTGATGGATAAAAATCCGCATCTTCAAAAAATTCACTTCCATCATAATCATTTTCCGAAATAATAATATCAGTATTTTCATTTTCTAAATCTTGTTCTTCTGGTTCAGACTCTCCACTGCTCCAAGTATTATTTTCATTCATTTTTTCAAAAATAATATATTTGTAATCAACAACAGTGAGAAATAAACGTGGGATGAAACGATTACAATCGTACTCCAGTGGAAAAAATCACATAGAAATATCGAATTCTCCTACCCAATTATTCAAAGTATATAAGTACTACGAAGAATCCACTTTACTTGTGGAGCATTGGCAGCCACCTAGCGGTCCATCAACGAACTACTTCAAAGCAGAGTTCAAAACTAATGGAAAAATGTTTGAGTAATTTTTTTGCAGATAGGGTATCAATAGATGTAGATATAGTATTTTTAAGCTTAAAGTAGCGAAAAAAATAAATTGACCTTAAAATCGTAATCAACAAGGTCAAAGCTGTCTTCGAGATATTGAATTGAATAGCGATTCTTCAATTTATTTATATTCAATTTATTGTTAGAAAACTTCAATTTTCTAATAATAAATCAAAAAAATCCCTCCATTTTCGTACAATGGAGACGTTCTAATTTTTTGTGGCCATATTGAATCCGCCATTTTGAATTTTTTCGGGTGAGATATAAGTTCTTTAGAGTTGGAATCAATTTATTATTGTTAGTGAATGTTGAAATTATTATTTTCAGATTTAAAAAAAAAATTGAAACAAAAAATAGCTTTACAACTCCTTTCATTTGACCTTGAAATCAATTTTCAAGGTCAAACAGTCTCTAGGAATTTTCTCACTACTTTTTTCTTATATAATACATCAAATTTAACCTAAAAACAATAAATAGTTTGTGTTATCAGGGTGGTCGATATATAGACCACCCCCGTCCTCTAAAGGTTAACAACCTAGGGTATAATTAAAATTTTAGGATAAGTATAAATTATGCTGCTTTGCAGGAGTCAACAACAACATGCTACTCGTGGGCATCTTGCTGCTGGCTCTCTCGCCTGCTAACTCGTTATTGGGCTTTGACTGCGGAGGTTGACACTTCAATATAACGTCCGTTTCACTCCTCAATTCCGGAGACTGCGACCTTGACATCAAGACAACCAACGACACCAGCGTCTACATTCAACTTCTCCAACTGTCGGAGTACAACTATGCTGAGGTCATTCAATAAAAGGTGGAAGTTCAACGCCACATTTATTACTATGGTATGCACTCTCACGTATCTATCGTGAGAGGCGGATATTCTACTTACCTGGACAATGTAGGACGAAGCCATTGTATGCAAATGCATGAAACCGGAGTTGGTAATGTTGGTTTTAACCAGGTAACCAAACTCCTGGTCAAGACCACCAACATCCGCGAACTGATAATGACAGGGACGCTAAATGCTGATGGAAAATGCACTGGAGGAAAATATAACGACCCATACGGCAACTGGGACAACGTTGTCATAATGGCCATCGCAAAGATCACCCTAAAATCATCATACGTACCAGTGCACCTAAACAGCGGAAAGATCCACTTGTAATCCGGAACCACTTGTGAGCTAAAGGAAGGACGCTGCGTTGATCCTGACGACGGGCATACCTACTGGAACGCCATACCAAAACCATGTGCGACTTCCATGCATATGATGTTCTATACGAAGGATTTGCAAAGAAAATCAAGGACGACACTACACAAGCAACCTCGCCTATCGTTTATTCCCTCATTTCCCGAGACATCAAATTTGCCCTTATGACTACAAAGGAAGTACCGATTTGCGGATATATATTGCAGCGCACAGAACATCCTAAATTATTTATCGTAGAAACAACGAAGGGGAACGAACCAAAACCCCGGGGCGATATTTCCGTGGACAACCTGGATATCTTCAACTACGTGAACTCAAAATTCGTTTACGTAGAAAAACATATACGTACTCAAATGACAAACTTATATCAAAACGTAATCAAGCAGCGCTGTAAACTCGAGAAAAAAGTCATTGAAAATATTCTATCCTTGGCAACTCTTTTACCCGACGAATTTGCTTACAGACTCATGAAAGGACCTGGCTCATGAAAGGACATGGCAGTGACCGCTGGAGAAGCCATGCATGTCGTCCAGTGCATCCCCGTCGAAGTCACTGTATGCCGAACAAAGGAATGTTTCCTTGAACTTCCCATCACCTTAAGAAATACCTCCTTATACCTCACTCCTAAATCCCGAATTATCACCCGTGTGGGAACACAGAGAGAATGCTCATACATGCTACCTACTCTCTATCGCATAGAAGACACCTGGATACAGCTGACACCTGATCCACATGTACAACAAATATCTCCACAACAGCTTCAGCCATTGACCAAAATCTCCTGGAAATACCTTACGCCTGGATCCCTTGCTACAAGCGGAATCTACAGCCAAGATGACATCAACAAACTCCGCGACCACATCATGTTCCCGGCCGAAAAACCAGCCTTGTTGAACTTGGTCGTAAGAGGCATCTCAGGATACTCACATGGCGACAACACCATCTCAATGTACAACCTCATGGACGAAGAAACTCTTAATAAAATTGCCCAGAGTACAGCATCTAAACTCTGGGGAGGCTTCATTACCTTCGGTTCAGCCGCAGCCGGAGTACTTGGAATTTTTATAATTCGAGTAATTAAAATCATTATAGATACCGCCATTCATGGATACGCCCTGCACACAGTATACGGCTGCAGCCTACATCTCTTAGGAGCCATATGGAGCTCACTCACCCACCTGTTACTCCACCTCTCACATAGGCCAAGGCAACCAAAAGGAGAAGACGACACCAACGATGACCAGAACAATGGAGGAGACATTCGACCCATTTCAACTTAACCAATCAGCACAAACAACAGACAAACAACCGCTTCAGCCCCAAGCCCTCTTAATATAACCGCATCCCAAAGCATTTCATATCGCGAGTTAAGCAAGCGAATCTCAGACTTAGAACAAATCCCTCTGATTCGTCTTTAAAAGGGGGGAGGTGTAACATCCCAGCCCCTAAAATCTTTAAATTTTCACGCCGTTATGTTATCGAGATACCACATTAACCCGAGGCCGATTTGCGATAACCTGAGAGATAGTATATAAGGTATTTTATTCCAGCGGCATATCCTACTTATTCAATCGTCAGAGACGGCTAAAAAATAAAACCCAATATATTGACAGTGCTAATAAAGCACGTAAAGGAAATAGTGAAAACCATACGTGACGAAGGAATTAGTAGATGAGCCGAATAATGTAAGAATATTCGCGAAGCGAATCCGCTTAGGCACGAGAAAACACGCTCAGCATGACATCATCTCGATACTATGCATCACGCCACCGCACATAACGTCCGGCCACCCCAGCATACCATAAGATAAGCCGAGGCGTAGAGGCATCCCTTTGAAACTAATCGATCCGGCACCACCGAGTCGCCATGGAATTCTACGCTGCGAGCCGACCGCCGTCGGAAAGCGTCGGGAACGAATGAAGCTCCCATCGGAGCCCTATAAAATCCGTGCTCCCGGGGCGCTCCACGCATTTGTTCGGGTAATACTCTGAGTACATCCAAGTATCTGTCCACGTAGCTGCAAGAAACTTTGTTACTCTCCGACCCGTTGCCTTAGGCATTCGTTCGGATTTTCTACGACCGACCTGTGTGCGGACTGCAGCGTCAGTACTAGCGTGCCCAGGTGAGTTCAACCACGACTAGCGGATCCCTGCAGTAAGCGACCGTGAGCGACCGTCTAATCCCCTATTATACTCGAACACTTGACCGGTAGGATCCGAGCGACCACCTATCGTTAAATTCATTATTCTTGATTTAATTCTAATATTATTCTAACTTTTATAGTATTATCCGTATTACTTAATAGCTTATAGCATCGTTCACATATAAGAATCTCGCTTAAATACCATACTTGTACTCGCTCTTAAAATATATTATACGATTATTACATCATTGCACTCTTTAAGAACGATTCTCTTCCTATACATCCTCTACACCTTGCAATACCTTGCGCTACATCTTTGGTCTCGACGCTTCGCTGACATCCGTGCCAGCTGTAAGCCCATTACACACATTCCTGCAAAGCTGCGGTATTCTCCGTAACACCATAATATTGCTAATGTGCTAGGTAGCATTTATCGCTCCTGGTTGCATCTTCTGCTTCTTAAGACAGAGCTCTGACAGTTCTCGGCAGCATTTCACGAACTCTCCGGAACTTAATTAATATAGCGAATTGTGAAGTAGCGCGTGAGGTGTAACGTCCTAGCCCCAGAAAACTTCAATTTTTCGCGATCACTACGGTATTTAAACTCCGCAATAACGAAAGGCCGATTTGTACTAATCTAAGACATAAAATATCATATGAACCAAATAGTACTTAAACTCTTCGAAGCGCTATATAAGGAGTCATGATATTGGGAGACAAGGACGGAATATATTATAGGCAAATTGATTCACAGTAAGAAATAATTAAGAATTCAAAAGGTATGTTAAAGATAACAATCCAAAATACACGATATCATGAGCTCTCATAGAATAAACCCTAGTTAGTGATTATAAGTTTTATTTTAGTTAAAGCAAGGAATCTTACTAATTCACTCGTCAAAAACGGCCAAGGAATCAAAATCGGATTATTATAGAAATGAAGTATTTATATAACCACTCAAAAGCCATACATGACGAAGGAATTGGTAGGAAACTCAAATAATGTAAGAGTACTCACGAGCAAACTCGCGCAGACACGAATGAACACGTCCAGCATGACATCATCGTAACGCTATGCATCACGCCACAGCGCATAACGTCATCCGACCACCCGAGCGTATCAAACGATAAGCCGAAGCGCAGCGGCACCCCTTTGAAAAACACTGACTCGAGACCACCATCTCGCCACCGGATGCGGCGCTGCGAGCCGACCGCCGTCGGAAGCGACCGAAACCGGCCGAAGCCCGCGCTCGAGACCTATAAGAACGGTGTTCCCGGAGCACCCCGCGCCTTTTGTTCGGGAATATTTCGAGACTTAGTCCAGTTTACTCAGTCGTCATTTTGTTCGGCACAATTCTTAAATACATTATCTTCGCATTTGCTCGTGGATTCTTCGAGACCTGACCTACTCTCCGACCCGTTGCCTCAGGCATTTGTTCGGTGATTCAACTACTCATCTACGACCCCTTGCGAACCTGTACAGGCGGCGTACCTATACCAGCAC